TTAAACTGTGTTGTCCAGCTTTCAATCAAAAACCTATGTCACAGATGCAATTGCAGACGGAAAGGAATTCCCCCCACGCCCCGAAAGTCTGCCCTAACTTCTCTCCCCTTTCCACCTCCCACGCACATAAACACTGCCAGTGAATTAAGGAGCTTCTCCTGCTTGCCTTTGGTCTTTGGGGACTAACTTTGAAGGTCCTTGGACATTCCGGGGAGAAGAGAGCCGTGTTGAGTAAAGCTGTGAGTCCTAGTAAGCTGGGCAGGTAGGGGCTCAAGCGATCAATGTGAGCTTCTGAATAACAAATTTAACCTTATTTCAGACTGGTCATACCAGTTACATCAATAGGTTGTGAACTAGAACACTCTTACTTTCATTTCATAGTTGAATTCCATCTCATTCTTGTCTCCTGGGCTCTAATATAAGCACAGACTGAAGACTTTTCTAACATATTCCTTCACAGTTTTAGAAGCAAAAAATGTAAAAGTCAAAAAACCCCACATCCAAACAGAATGTCAAAATAATCAAGTTAAAATGGCATGGCCCAAACAGCTAAACAGTCAGAAATGCTAGCATAAAATGTAGCATCACCCCATATAAAGTAACAGTATACAGTACTCTTTATTTGCCTAGTACCATCTAGATACTACGGAGATCACAAGATTTGATTGTCTCCTAGAAATAAATAAGCCAAAGAAAATATTGCATCTAAATTCTTGCCCCAATTTTCTAACTAATAAAGTAACCATGATTTCTGCTTACACATTTTCATGACCACGATATTTTAGAAACTGCAGCTTGAGGACACTGCCAGTTATTATCTGCCTGTTATGTGCCTGGCGCTGCTGAGTGCTTTTCAGAAATCATCTCACTTAGTCCTTTCAACAACCTTGCTTGGCAGGATGATGCAATAGTGTGGGCACATTCAGGCTGACTAGATTAAAATGAACTTGATGCTAGACTTTGGGACTCTTCTGATTTAAATCCAATAGCAGCTGCATGACTCTTAAGATAGTTCTCACTTTACGTTAAAATGCTTCAGCATAAACAGTGTGATAGGTTCAAGGTTTGGTTTAAGAGAAACTCCGGGTGCCGCTAAGCATTCTATTTCACCACCCAGGGTGGCACAGTTTATTTTTGTAATCAGAGTACACATCCCAGAATTGAAATGCCTTCTGTTAGCCATACTTCTATCAACACCCCAGTCTTACTAGTTATCCAGTAAGAAATTGACTCTCGTTTGAGGAAATGAATGATGGTCATAAAGATGCAAGGATTGGCTGAGATCTTTTAGACATACTATTGTTGAAATAATTTCTAAGCCCAAGATGGAGTGGCTCCTGCCCTGGGTGCCACGTCAGCAAACCAAAACCTAAACTTTCCTGTTCCTGTAAATGTCCCACTTGACCAGATATAGATTATAGTCAAGTCAGCCAACCCCCACATGCCAAGCCAACTCTGGGCTCTGTTCTTATATCCTTGTTCCTTATTCATTTTCTATTTTTTTCTCTTCCTTGTTTCTTATTCTTTAAGCTATAAAAACTTTCTGCCTCTCACCCCAGTTTGGAGTTCTCTGGACCTGTGGGAATGGAGACTGTCCTCCTCATGAAGTGTTAAAGTTTGTTTGTATTACCTAAATTGTGTTCTTTAATCATGTTTAACACTATTTACTCTTGCATACTCGATGTGTAAGAATCTAGTTCCCTTGGAGACGGGGCCCTAGGCTTTTCTCCTAAATAAATAGTCTGCTATCCACCCACTGTGACTGGACTTCTAGGTGCCTGATGCTTATTTATAAGAGTAACTGTATCCTCTCTCTGGAGTGTTGTCATCTGCCTCTAGGAAATTTCATGCAAGCTGGTGGGTAGAAAATCGGAAAGGACGGAAAACTGGGAGTAGGAGGAAGACAGAAAAGGGAAACAGAGTTGAGATCTGTGTTAGCCCATGGTAGATAATCAGTAATTGGCTGTTTAGGGTTTCAGCACAGGACTGTTTGTCATGACTGATCTTGGAGTTTAATCCAGGTAGAGGAAAGAGAGCCCTCAGGTGACTAAGGACAGTAGAATCAGAGGACAGTAGATTCCAGCAGAAAAGGACTGTTCGGAGTGGGGGATATGGGAAGCAATGAGGTAGAAAATAAGAAGCAGTGCTCAGAGAGTTGAATGAAATTCAGAATATGGGGGGGGGCGATTATTGGTACTCTAATGACCACGAGAATAGGTGGCTAAGGTCAGACATCGTAAGGACCATCTGGGTAGGATTTTTGAAAACATCAAGAATTATGGTAGCAGCAGGGTTGGCAAGAGTCACAGTGAATCAAGAAATGAAACCTTCAAGGAATGTGGCAGAGTGACCTCAAGGGTGATATCTGACTGACTGCACCGATAAAATGAAACTACCAAGTCTGTACAATTTGGGTCATTTATCTACATAAATGGTATTCCATATACCATAGGGACCCACTTGTATCTGACTCTTTTATTACGTAAGACTAGCCTAGTTTAGCATGCCTAGATTAACAGCTGATGAATTACTCCATAAAAAAGTTTCATAGATTTTTTAAAGTTTATTCTAAATATTACCGTATTTTTAAAAATTGGAGTATAGTTGATTCACAATGTTGTGTTAGTTTCAGGTGTACAGCACAGTGATTCAGTTACACATACCTATATATATATATATATATATATTCTTTTTCAGACTCTTTTCCCTTATAGGTTATTATAAAATATTGAGTAGAGTTCCCTGTGCTATACAGTAAGTCCTTGTTGGTTATCTATTTTATATATAGTCGTGTGTATATGTTAATCCCAATCTCATAGTTTATCCCTCCCCTCCTTTTCCCCTTTGGTAACCATAGAGTTTGTTTTCTATGTCTGTGGGTCTATAATAATTTTTTTCCTGAAAAATATTGTTATGTACTTAGAAAAATGATAATGCCTTTACGGGCACAGGAAAAGAGAGAACAAAATTTGGGTATTTCATAGTTCTTTTCAAATTTCTGCATGAAACTATTCAGTCTAGATGTTTTTATGAGCCATACAAATGGCATAATTTCTAAAATGTTCTGCTGAAGATAGGTAATCTTAATAGTGAAAAGATCCAAAATCACTCATTCACTCATCCAGTCATTCTTTCAATATGTGATGCTTCCTCCACCAGGTACTCAGGGAAGGTGGACCTTCCCACCATCAGCAACCATGTGTGCAGCTGCCCTCAGTTATTCTGGTCAGCTAGTTCATTGAAAAAGATTAATTAGAGCCTTTGCACCTCTCAGTAAGATGGGGGTTTATTATTCTCTTGAAATAAAAATAATTCATTCAGAGAATATGTCAAATCAATAGAACTGTCACCATAAGAGAAATAAACTCACAATAAGCTGAAAATTAAAATGGTATGTTTAATCAAAAAGACCAGGATCCTCTCCTGTTAAAACTAGAATTAGCTTTTGCCAAGCATGGAATCAAAAAGTATGATTTTACTTTATTCATTGGCTATAAATCTCATCCATCTGAATTCATTTTCCACCCTGTGGTTTCCTTTTTCATTCTCTAGAGAAAAAAGAATGCTTATATTTATGTCATATTTTCAACATGTGCTATGCTACCTTTAAATGTACTATTTACATAGCTCAACGACTAGTTAGCTATATTCTAAATGAACTGCCCATTACAGTAACTTTAGAGGGTGTATTACTCCTGGAACAGGAGGAGGTTCTAATGCAAGTTAGGGTAGATTTTTCCAATTTCTGTGACAGATTCTTTACATACCTGATTTCCTGTCCTCACACTGACACTGTAAGAAGGGTTAATTATTCTCCACATGCATTTTACAGATGAGGGAAACTGAATTTCAATGAGGTTAAGAAACATACTCAAAGTCACAGCAATTTTCTGCGGGAACTCTGGGATAGAGATCATGTCAGATGAAGTTTGTTGCTATATTGTTCCAAGGTCTGTAGCTTTTCCACTCTGCCCCACGTAAGTGATAAGTTTATAGCTAATAATTATAGTAGCTAACATTTATTGAGAAATTGAAAACGACCAGGCAGGTACTAAGGCATTATATGTTTTTAAATCTCCAACAACCTTGTGATTAAGACATCAAGGTTTAGAGAAGGAAAGTAATTTGCCTAAGATCATATAATAAATAGTCAACTTAAGTGAGACACACATCTTGGTTCTCTCTCCTGAATTCTGACCTCAAACTATAAACAGGTAACTATCCTCAATATATGGTTTGCTACAATACAAAGGTATAAAGTGAGGGGAGATAAAGATAGAGTTCAGATTGCTTTATTTACTTTCGTAATTTGGTAGCTCAGTTATTTCCTTTAGACTTCTGCAAAATTCATAAAACTGAAATAATGATCTTTTAGTTATTTAAATTTTAAGATGATTTTAGGAAGAATCATTCCAAGTGACACCGCTGTCTTGATTTATTGGCAATTTTGACTTTGCTCACAGCATGAACTTTTCTCTGGTCAGTATTGCTCATTCTTACGCAAAGGTGACCCTAACGGGAATTCCCACCAGGATGGGTTTAATTATTGAAAGACAGGAAGTGTCTTTCTTGTGGAAGTGAGGATAACATTGTGACTTGGCTCCTAACATGGGTATATTAGCCTTGCAATCTTTTCTTCCTGGTTATTCAGTATGCAAATGCATACCTTTGGCTATTGCTGGGCATAAAACCAAAATTAAACATGCGTGGTTTGGCAAAAATCATGACTGCTACTGCGCACAGTTTTTTAGAATTTCTTAAACTATACGAAAGAACATATGCATTATTCTTTTTATTTTTAAAAGAACTGCTGAGCTGGTGTTAAAAATTAAACTGCACACAGTACCAGCCATACATTAGGTCCTAAATAAGTATTTGTTTTATGATGAAATGAATAAACATAACTGCAGCATAAATGTCTCATGTTCATTCTTTATACACAGAGTCACAGAGTCATATATCTCACAGATGTTTAAGGGCTGGGCTATCCAGACATTTACCTGAAAAGGGTCTGCACGTTTACAATCGTTTTGGCATCTGCCATGTAGTCTTCCTCGGCACTCATGGTGCTTTCTTTGTCCACAACCACCATGTTGGCAGCGAAAGTCACTCCACACCTGAGTAAATCGTCTAGACTTTGATAAAAACCAACAGAGAAAAATGAACTTTCAATAAATCTCAGTACCAGGATGGTGCTAAAACTTGCTTACAGCCCTGCGCTTATAGGCGTATAGGTTGCCCTCACACGTGGCTTTCACAGAGTGGACACTGGTAGATGTTACGGGAACTAATATAAGACAATATTCTCTACTGCTATGAAGTAAATTGTATTTGGGGTTTCTTTATGTTTCATTAGATCTCAACCATTTCAAAGCACATGCATTAAGGATCTTTATTTAATAATACTTATTAATTTTATAAATAAAACATGGAAACACCCATTTTACAATCAAATAGAATTAGAACATGTTAGAACCTTGTTTTTACAATTAGCACATTATTTCAAAGACACGACATTCACATTTTTTATCCCTGAGACACTTTTGGTAAGAATAGAAATGAACGCATATTAATTTAGATGGTCAAGCCTAATAAGGAAATATATTTATTAAAATACTTATTTTTAAATGTCTATTATTTATTTGTGTAAAGCTATGTGTGTTATAGGTTGGTTCTACACAGCCAAGAGCACGTAAAATATAGAAATATCGGTTGCATTCAAGCCTGCCTTCTAGCCACTTTTGAGCAAGTGATTGAATGAACTAATTTTGTTGGTTGCAGGAAATAATTGCTAAACTAGGACACAAGTTCCCATGAGTTACCACAGAGTCAGTCTTCTCCCCTATCACTGATAAAAATTTTACCTAACTCTGAATTTAAAAACAATGTTACCATAAAAGCTGAATTAAGAAAACCATTATCTCATTGCCTTTGCTTCATACAAGCTACAAAAATAGGACTGAACTGGATAAGGGAGATTGTATCAAAACTTGAATGAGTGCAAGAGTATTCTAGGTTCAGAACTGAATGAAGATAGATAAGAAGAATTGGGCTAATTGATTTCTACATCTTTTGATTTAAAATGAGAAGTGTAAAACTTAAAGAACAGTAGCTCTTTTTAGCTTCTTAAATGGAAGAGTCAGTTCCCCAAGGATCTTCTCCAAGTGCATGATCACTTGAATTAGTCATCTCACTAATTCACTAGAAAGAATTTTCCTTTTATGGGAAGGCAAGAGGCAATATTTCTTACTCTTTTATATGGTGAGAGAGTATTACCAAAGTTTTGAGTCCAAGATCCCCAGGAGTAGTCCAGAAAAAAATATTTCGCTTGAATCAGGCACAGTGTTCTGTGGCAGGGATTTTATGGCTAACACTGTGGAAACAGAATATTATTCCAAATAAATTTCCTATGGTGAGAGGGGCCAGGACCATAACATCCAATCAATATGATGACCAAGTTTAAATCTCTAGGAACACTTTACTAGGGTGTTCCTTTTATCTAGGAAATTCATAATTGTTCTTACATCTATTAAAATACATTTTTTAAAAAGAAAAAAGTAGGTGGAAAATGAATGTGATATGGTCCCTTATGTACCATAAAAATGATGCCTAAATCTTACGTCTTCAACCGACCTTATTTTAGTGGTAATCCACTTTCTCATATTTCATTTCTTACAATTTTTACTTCCCTGATTAAAAAATTATAATTGTCTATATAGGAAAAGGTAAAGATAAGGTGGTAGAAGGTAAGCTCGACTGAAAAAAGATACACAAATAGAAGTGATAATAAAATATGAATATTTCATCAGCAATAAATCAATGAAGTGGAGACTTAACAAAAAACTTAACTATGAGAATTCCTGTACTAAATAGTCACTAACTACCTAAACCTGTATATATCAGTTAATTCCATACTCAAAATATTGACCATTGTAGTTGACACATAACTTTGGCAAATGATTTTAGTAATTATTATTAAATATGAGTTTAAATCTAAAGAACTCTATAGAATCTATAGAAAATATATAAAATTGGAATGGCATTTCTGAACCACGCAGAAACTGTTTTGTTCTTCATGTTTTAACTTTAAATTATTTATATTCATTTAACATTGTATTGTACTCTTTCTTTCCTTTTTTTAATTTGGCTACCGATTTATTCTTGTAATTCTGTGTCTATCATAATTTCTCCCCACTATCTTATCTACAAAGCCACTGCCCATTTTTTCTTTAGCACTATTGCTTTACGCAGTTTGGTCACCAGATGGTGGCCCAAGAAAAAAGTCAACATGGATGAAAAACAGTTACAGATAATCTAACTGACATTGCCCCTCTTTCTACCTTTCTCTGACTTCCTTTTCGAAGAGAACTAGAATGTAAAGGAATGAATATAGGTGAATGTTTGTGAGTGTGTTCTAATTCATTCATAGTTTTCTTTGCTTATTTATGTTTAAGGACAATTTCAAACATAAGCAGAAAAGAATACTATATACTGAACCTCCTGTACCAATCACCCAGCTTCAATAATTAGCAACTTGTAGCCAATCCTGTTTCATCTCTAATCCTAGGGATTTGATCATTTCCATTCTTCTTTTCCTCCCCGTAAATACTTTTATAGATGGAGAATTCATTATATAGTTTACATCAAAAAAGACAGATGAAAGGTTTATTTTATATCTTTTAAATATAAAGTTCTAATGAATTTTAATAGAATACTCTCACAACAAAGAAACATTACTATTGATAAAATATGGATTGATTTCATTTTCATGGATTTAAATAATAGTTTTAGTACATCTACATTTTAGTTAGTTGGTTAGTATTATGCAACTGATAACATAAATTATATTAATGTAGAATGGAAGCTAAATATATGTTAATCTGTTTGGCCTTTAATGTGTCCACAGCCAATAAACACTGTCAAAGTTACAAAGCTTTGTTTTTTCAGCATCTACAAGATGAAATGTAAGCATGAAAGTTCTCAGTGGATAACTTTTAGCATTTTATTTGGAATGTTTTGGGCTGACTTTTTTTAGAATGGAAAATTAACACATTTTATAAGCATACTAGTTTTCTGATCTTTTAGTTTTTGTATTTGTTATAATGTCATATTTATGCATATAACAATTTGTATTTTAAAACTGAAGCATTGCACACATTTGACCTTTAATTAACAAATTTTTGGAAGACTCTGATATGTTACCAGAATAGACTGTCAAGGAAATGCTCAAATTAATAAATCTGATTTAAAATGAGCATTTCCAAAGTATTTTGAAGGTTTCCAGAAGTTATGATAACGATACCAATGCATCACAATGTTGAAATTCTAGGTTTTCTCTACAAAGATGTTAACAGTAATAAAGTTACTGCTATAGATGACACAAAACTGGAATAGCTTTAGAAAGGGAACAAAATTGACATGCAACAAGATTTGTCTTAATTCAACAACAGATTACTGCTTAGGAAGTTTGAATGCAAGATGTATAACACGAGAACATAAGCTCCACATGCAATATACATCATATTTTCAACACTGAAATGGCAAATTACACTCATCATGCAACACAGGGGTGCAGCACATGACAAACCACAGGACACCACACTAGTTAGTGTGCCAAAGATTTTGTCACCTACTTGTCAATAGAGCCCACCATGTAGTAAACCATTGGAAACCAACAGATTGCATCCAGAAAATGCATATCTGGCCTAAGTAGCAGATGGGTTACAAAATGAAACACAATGTCACAACAGTGGCAGCACTTCTAGGGAAAGGAAGTAAGTTGACTTAGTTTTCATTTCCAAAACTAAACACTGTTGACAAGATTAATTTTAAGTGCCTTTTCTCTCAACATTAATTTTAAAATGTCATTTGCACTTGTTATGAATAATACAATGCGCTCAACAATGATAAAAACAAGTTGTATTTCTGCTTTCTAAATCAGAAACATTATGGCATTATTCTACAAAAACACTGAATTGATACTCTTAATTTATGAGTAAAAAGTCTTGTCAGTGAGTTTAAAATTATTCATGCTGAGAAAGTCTTGTAAAATGGGGAACTGATGATTTTATTTTGATGATATAAAACATAAGGAAATAAATTAGCATGCCTATTAAGAGCAATTTTCTCTAAGGGATATACAGAATCACAACATGTCCCTTAATATATCAACATATCAATAAATAAATATAGTATATGTACCCATCAATATATAAATATAAAATTAAAGTAATTCACCTTTTCCATTACTGATTTCCTCAATATATATTGTTGAGCAAATCTGTACTGCAACTGAAATCTTTACTCTTTATGCATATTTGGGGAAAGAATCATGAACCTGGAAGCTTCCTTAGAAATTACCTAATCTACTTATTCATTTTGTAATTCTTTGAATTTGTATTCATTTTGAATTATTAATTCTTTCATGCATCTATTCCCTCAGCATATATGTATCCAAGAAGTTTTATCTAACAGACATTTTAATATACGCAGGTGTATGCAAAAAGAATATGTTGTTAACTTGTACTGTAAGAAATAGAGCTTTTGGAACACATAAGTAAAGGCACAAAATTACAACATATTGTAATCTGAAAAAATAAGGAATAGATTTGCACTCAGGAGACAGAGTTCAGGATCATTTCACAGAGGAAATATTTAATTTGGATGTTGAAGAACGAGTAGGATTTGGCTCAGTAAAGGAGAAGCAAAGGGAACCTCTAGGCAAAGGCAAGTACAGCCCCTGCAATATCCCAGGTGCTTCTCCCAGCCTGAAGAAGTCTTGTCTTCCCTGGTTTATTTTCTTCCTGTTGATCATACTCAACTTTTTCCACTCTAAAGAAAAATAATGCTCAGTGCAGTGAAGCATAAAAAGAAAACTTCCAAAGACTATCCCTGTTGATTACATTCCTACCATCAATAAATTACTTCCTAACCATTTTAAGTGGCCCCATATTACTACATATTATAAATGTACCACAATTCATTTTAAAAATCCTCAATTATTTCATTTATGTTATTTTCACTTTTGTGCTATTAATTACTGGAGTTACAAGCTATTTCCAATATCCTGCTATTATAAATGTTACTCATCTGGACACTTTTGGATGACTCTTTTTCTAGCATTTGTTTTTATCAT